TCTCTCTCTCTCTCTCTCTCTCTCTCTCTCTCTCTCTCTCTCTCTCTCTCTTTTATTCGTCTTCTCTTTCTCTTTCAAAAAAAGGGAAGTATTCTGCTTTTGAAATTAATTTGCCATCGCCCAAGGAGACACGTTTGTAGTATTGAAACAGGATTGCTATTGTGTAGCGATTTTTAGCATGTTTTTGTTTTAATCTTCGATAATAAATAATATTTATCTCTACTCTGTATTGAGCCCTCTTTTAAATTGTATGTTACGGACAGTGAAATTATATTCAATTTGTTCTTAGGCAGCAACCCCTCTTTTATACAAGTTTCGTTAAAAACGACTGACAGGGTACTACGGTTACTTTCCTTATTGTCTGCCGGGTAATTTAATCATTATGACATGATCGCCCAAGCGTGTATTATTCATGGAACTTAACTGACTGATAGCATATACTTGCTAGTGTATTGTGGCTGTTCTGATAGCATTTTAGTCTTCGGCCATTTTGTGATGTAACAACACTCAGACTAGCGTAATGTCTATATCTGAGTTTCAGACGGTGATGAAAACTGGGATGAATTTCAGTGCGGTGAAAGGGCAATTGCCCATAAAGGCGCACATGCGTTGCGTTTGTTCAATTAAACACATTTGACAGAAGAACAGATTTTGGTGTCAACAGAAAATGGTCAACTTTGAGAACTGCTGTGCATCTTGGACGTGACGCATCGGTTGTGCTTTGATAGTAGTAAGTGTGGTCAAATGAACAGGTTCTGAACTGAACCTCTGATCACTAAAATTTTAACCTCTTGAAGTCGAGGATCAACCGTAAACTATCTTACATAACGAGCAACCTTTGCTCCATCACACGCCCTTAATAGCACATGCCTTGTATATAGCAAACAATAGTAAAAAAAAAAACATGGACATTTAATTCTCATTCATTGTTGAATATTTACTTTCATCCTATCTTCTTGTTTTTAATGTACATAAGTATTGTTTTATATATATATATATATATATATATATATATATATATATATATATATATAAGAGAGAGAGAGATAGGTGTGTGAGTGTGTGCATGAAGAAGATATAATATTATTTACATCTTAAATAAAATTTCTTTTTATGAATATCTGAATTTTTATTTTTATTTTATCTAAATTTATACTCGCACACAAATATTTCTCTCTTATTGTATATTTCTCTCTCAAGATAAAAAAATCAAGATGAAATTAAATATGGCTCAGAAATTAACACAAACGTTTGTCAATGTTTCCCTTTATAAAAAAAGGAATATTTTATTTACATTGTGGATTAAGTGGTCCATACACAAGTCTTGAAAGCTCAAAAAATTGCGCCTATATTAACAGAAATAATAAATCCAGAGGAATTTTGCCAATCAAACTCAGAGTCAATTATATTCATTAAAATAATATACCAACAGTAACTTATTTTTTATAGCGAAGAATTGTCTCTGTTTAAACCAGAGAAAATATCCATTTATTAAAGACTTAAAAAGAATTTAATCATTTTGCTATGTCAGAAATATCTGGAATTCTAAGAACGCTACAAGTACTTAGGCGTCTTACGAGTTCCATCCATTTTGATTTGATAAAAATACTTTGGTCTGCTGAAATGGTGAAGATTCTGTTGATTAACGGCTGTGAAATTTTGGGGAATATATCCAAATTTTATCTAAATTATTAGAGAATGATAAATTCGCAGTTGAAAGATGACTTCCTTCAGCATGGACGTCTTCTGAGTGTCTGTGCAGAACTAATTGCAAGATTTAAGATAAAGATTTAAAATAACAAACTATAATATATCCAAATAGATATAAAGTTCTCATATAATATATATTTTGAGTTATCTATCCATTTCAATCTTTTTATACATATGTATCTGATTTTACCCATATTTCTGACTCACTCTCACTCTCTACACACACACGCGCGCGCGCACATGCAATTTTAGGTTAAATTATATCTTAAAAGTGCAATTTATCAATAGAGCGTGTGCAAATATGAGAAGTATGGAGACTGATGTCAGCACCGAATGGCGACTATGTTTCATGCTTGAACGCAGTCTTCAGAACATGAGTATTGGATTATAGCTAGACTATTTATATACATTAGTTATTCAGTCACCAATGATTAACATATATACATATCCGAGTTATAGCCTGTAGATGTTTTTCAAACCTGAAACAGACTATTGTCACTCGTTGTCGGCATCAATGTCCACACTTCTAATATATATATATATATATATATATATATTATGGGGGGTGACGCGTTTCGTCCTTTAAGACTACATCGGTCTAAAGTGATGTTCCAGTTGATGTAATTACACATTTTAAAATGTGCTTTAATATATATTCTAACCCATTTCATTGAGTGTGGGTTTTTTTTTAGGGATGGGGGTTAAGAGTTTATCACTTGTGCGAGTAGGTACCCCACATTGTGATAACAGAAGATCTGCCAAGAAAAGTGAAATGTTAAGAAATTGAAAGCAAATTTACTGTGGATTATCAAGCGATTAAAGCACTTTCTATACATTTTCGTCTTTGTAAGCAACATTTCTTAAATCGAAATTATGGTCAGAGCTATTACCGTAAAAAATTCTGTATCATCTCCTGTATGTATGCATGTATGTATGTATGTATATATGCATGTATGTAAATATGTCACTAGAGTGTGCAAGTCCAGACCGGGATTGACAAGACATATAAAAAGACACACTGGAAGTGATGATGTTCAAAGTCAACTTCCACCACCCGTAGATGATTTATGCCATATATGTAACAAGAAATGCAGATCAATGCCTGGCTTTATGAACCACTGCCATTTACACAACAAATGAATGCAGTGTTATTGTGGAGGGGGGAGTTTAACTGATGGACTGGACATGTCACTGATGGTCATACTCACTATGTGAGTCGACAGCCACAATGTATGTATTTATATATGTATGTATGTATTTGCACGCGGCCCAGTGGTTAGAATGTTTGCATTGTGACCTAGGTTCGAATCTCACCATGGTCGATTAGTTAGTTATCAGTTAAGTCAGTTAAGGAGATAACTGATAAGTGACATCCATCAGACACGGCACGTGGAACTAGAACACTCAACCTCAGGGAGCGAAATAAAGGGTTCATTTCCACATTCTGACCACCTGAAGAAGGCCGGAGCGTACAACGGCCGAAACTTATATAAATATGGCTACAAAGATGAGGACAATAATCCGAATAATGTAAATAGTGTACATAATACCTCATCTCAGAAATATAGACAGATACCAAATGTGAACCCAAGTGTGTGAAAATCGTTGAGAATTTCTACTTGCATTTTGATGACAGGAACGCGTACTTTTAGCTAGCTTTCAATTTACCCCGAAAAACTGTCACGCACCTCACTGATTATGTTGTGAATGTAACCCCTGGGGGATCAAATAGCTGCCGTTAATGCTATGTGTTAAGAGAAGCTTCTGGCATTATGCAGTTGATGTTTTCTTATGTGACGTCAACCTGGTAAATGACTTCTTCCATTTTCTGTTCGCTGCCGACGCACAGGCTCAGTCTCGAATATCAGGTTGTCACTCGCCTTTAGCATATAGAGAGGGGACATTTAAGAGCGACATGTACGTTTATAAAAATATTCAACCACTTTTGCTGTCTTTCCTAATGGAAAGAGAACTTCGACTTTCCAGCTGGTTAATTCCCGCCCACATGATGCCCATACTACTCAACATTCTCTCTAAGATTGTTCAAAAATTTCTCCGGCCTGCATGATCGCCAAAACATTCCTTCATGGAACATGACTGTGTAATACCGGCTTCGTTCATTTACAACTCTTGCGGTATTACGTCAGGAAATACGCGAAGTCCTATATAGCATGATTGTATTAGCCAACTGAAAGATCGTATGTATGCGGTATTACAGGCCTTTGTTAACGCCAAAAGGTGAATGTACTTTGTATTAACAAGAGATCTGAGCAATCTGTAGATGCTAGCATTTACAGTAATCCAACTATATTCACCTCTGTGTTTAATCTACATTTAATTAGAAACATCCCCAGGGCGTTGCAGTTTGATTTTTGTAAGCGTAATTATGTTTATTTGAATAAATATAACAATTTACGAATATTATTTTAGAACGGTATTCATAAAGTCACACGCATCTGCTATTTTTAATAAATAAGACCCGCAAATCACACACACACACACACACACACACACACATATATATATATATATATACACATATATATATACACACACACACACACACACACACACATATATATATATATATATATATATATATATATATATATATATATATATGTGTGTGTGTGTGTGTGTGTGTGTGTGTGTGTGTGTATGTGCTGATGTCTGGAATGTTGGTTCCTAGGAACTGAGCTGCTTGACCTCATACGTCGAATACGACAGGAGAGTCCACCACCACACACACACACACACACACACACACACACACATATATATATATATATATATATATATATATATATATATATATATATATAATAGTCCTCGATATAATATAAGAGAGTTATAAATTATTAATAAATATACATTTTTGCCCTCACCCTAATCATGACACGGATTTTCATGCAAAATGCTATCTTCAGATTTTAAATTGAGAGTCTCATATCAGCACATGATGATTACGTTGTGTATGAAACCCCGTCGTGCTATTGGACAAGATAAAGCTGTATATTTATTCATAAACTCCTCGACATTAACACTGGTCCCCATACCAAGAATGAGATCACCAAGGACATCAAGGCTCTTAAGTCAGGCAAAGCAGCAGGCCCTGACCGTATATCACCAGAAGCACTGAAGGCAGACATCCAGACTTCAACTGACATGCTGCACCCACTCCTGCACAAGATCTGGGTACAAGAAAGAATACCTGAAGAGTGAAGAAAGGTCACCTTGTGAAGCTGCCGAAGAAAGAGGATCTGTCATAATGCATCGACTGGAGAGTCATTATGCTGCTGTCCATCCCAGGGAAAGTACTGACAAAAAAGAAGGCATTGGACAAGACACTCCGAGAAGAACAGGCAAGCTTTCGTCAAGACAGATCATGCATAGACCACATCGTCACATTGCGCATCATCATCGAACAGTCCCTAGAATGGCAGACCCCCGTGTACTCAGTCTTCGTCGACTTTCAGAAAGCTTTTGATGGTGTCTGGAGACTTATACAGCACTATGGCTTTCCGTCAAAGTTTGTCACCATCATCCAACTACTGTATGAAGATGCCACCAGTCAAGTTATCCATGACGGGAAGCTAACGGAACCATTCCCAGTGCAAATTGGTGTTCGTCAGGGACGCCTTATGTCACCGACGATCTCCCTGCTAGTGGTCGACTGGATAAAGCGACAGGTCACGTCAGGCAGGAGAACTAGTTTACAGTGGACCTTCATGAAGCAGCTGAAAGACATCAGATTTCTCTCCCACAACAAGATGCGTAGAATCTGAATCCTAAACGACAACAAGATCAAGTGCGACTACACCAAGAAGACTTCAAGAAAGTCAATACGTTTGTCTACCTGGGAAGCGTCATCAGTAAAGATGGGGGAAGGGTGAAGACATCAAGCACCGAATCAACAAAGCCCGGCACGCTTTCACCACTCGGCGGCAAATCTGGAGATCATCAGCCCCCTCACTTTACAACAAGATCCGGATCTTCAAGACCAACGTCAAGTCTGTCCTACTTTACGGCTCAGAAACCTGGTGGGTAACCAAGACTTACACCCACAAATTTCAGGTATTTACCAACCGATGTCTCAAGAACATCTTCAATATCAGAAGTCTCAGGAATATCTTCAATGTCGGAAGTCTCAGGAACATCTCCAACATCGGAAGTCTCAGGAACATCTTCAATGTCGGAAGTCTCAGGAACATCTTCAATATCGGAAGTCTCAGGAACATCTTCAACATCGGACCAAACACTCTGCAAGCCTGCTTCTTGTGTCACCAAGGAGGCCCTTGATTGAAATCCACAAGGGAAGTGAAAGTTTTGACGCAGAGGAGAAAATTCATGTACACTGCCGGTGCAAATCAAATCTTTGGAACCAGCAAAAAAACAGGCCTGATCCGAGAGCGGGCCTAAGAAAAAAGATGCAGCGTTTTACGAGGAACAACATCAAAAATATGAAAAATATCTGCAGGGGAATGAGTTCCTTACTATCCCCGAGGCTTTGAAAGCTGTCAACACCAAATTTATTTCGATGCTGACCACAGATGTAAAAAGTCGGAGAGTCATTGGAGTCAGCAGAGAAAGCATGGAGGAGGCACTAAAAACCTCAAAATCATACCGAAAGTGTTGGCGAGGAGAAGCAATGAAATGTGGGACCTTCTTCACGAATCAGAACAAGATGCAAACTAACTCGCTGGAAATGTCCTCTCAACGTCTGCATTACGCATCCAAGCGGAGTATATGGGTACAAGAAAAATACAAATTACTGTGCATGGTGTACCAGTTGACATTTCACAAGATAGGATTGGAGCGTTCTTTGCAAAGTATGGACAGGTACAAGAAGTGAGTGCAGTACGCAGCAAATCCGGCAGTGCAACCAGTGACATCGTCTTGCAAGTTGTGCTCAGACGGCAGAGTTTCCAAAACATCCCAAACATATTTATATGTCGAGAAAAAAGAATGTTTGTCGTCGGTAGGAGGCCATGTTGTTGGTCATGTGGTTCGGTGGGGCATATGGCTAAGGAGTGCCCCGGAAAGAAGGTGAAAGAGCCTACGAAGAATGCACCTCTAGCAGCAACAGTGACATTCGTAGTAGAAAAGGAAAAGGCCTCCTCCCAGGGTGCCTAGACTGAGGTGAGGAGGTGGGGAGTGACAAACCCACCATTGCCTCAATAGCACGTCACACAGTCATCAAAACAAACAACACGGCAGGAGCAGCAGCAGCAACAACAAAAGAAATCTCAGAAATCTCCATAATCAACAAGCAAACAGCAACACAAAAAGAACCCAAAGGAACAGGAAACGCAGCAGAAGCAACCGGAAGAGGGGGTGGAGGTGGAGGAAACGCCTCCGCCTCGCTCTTCTTCGTTGAAGAGAACTAGAGGAGGAGGAGGAAGAGGAGGAGGACGCTGAAAGACCGGTAGAAAAACGTGCCGACAGAAAGAAATCAACCAAAAAAGCAGATCTTCGTCAGTACCGGTCTTGCCAGGACAAGCTAGAGAAGAACTGTTAAAAGCTAGGAGCCTCCCAACTTCACGTACTCGAAATCCATCCCCTCTCCCTCCCCTGCCAGTTCAATATACACTCCCCCCGTCGCTCTTCCACTTCTTCCCTACCCCAGGGGATAGGAAAAGAAAAAAAACAACTTTCCCTGATGCAAAAAAACATCTGTAGAGTAAACGTGAAGCAAATGAAGAAAGGCCTTTCAAGCCACAAAAAATCTTTGCTCGGTCTTTTGATGAAAATGTCGACTGTAGATAGTAAATCCATCGAGGACCCTAGAAACTTTCGGGATGCTCCTGGGGTGGACAAATATGTAAGAGACACAGGTGGCTACCTAAAAGTTTGGGGGCATCTGGTGGAAGCACAACAAGCATTCCAAAATATTAAAATGCTTATAACAGAGGATGATTATTAAGAAATTAAGACTATTGTTCTGGGAGGGTCCCTTTTTTACTCCATCCCTCCCTATATAGGTGTGTTAAATTAACGTACCCGACGGACGTCAGCGGAATTGCCCTAGAAGGACGAATGACGTCTGAGCTAGGTGTGGGGAGCCTAGGACAATCCGTTGGGGTCCTGACTGACACAGATTTCCGGCCCGTATGTGAGTAGGTTTTCTTTTCTTACTCTTTTATTTTTTGCAAGCCTAAACGAGGTCAAGTTAGCAATTCTGAATGCGAAGGGCTTCAGGGGTCGGGGTACAGCAGTCCGCCTGCTCCAGAATCTTTGTCTTTCGGCGTGGATGTCGCCGCGATCGAAGAGACCCACTTAGACTTATTAGATTGTCCGACGTTCCACTAGGTAGGCTATTCGGATTACAAACTCGTTTGTTCCCGGATGGCGTTAGATCGTAGTTCTAGAATGGCTGGTTACTGGAAGTTCAATCTGTATTTACTGGACAGGCGGGACTTCCAGGAGCAGCTAACTAGCTTAGTGTAGCGGAAGGTAGTGGGGGCGGTTATCGGGAATAAGTGGTGGGAGAGATTTAAGAATAAGATTAGGTCCTCCACCACTGATTTAAGCAAACGGCTCGCCCTAGATAGAGCTGAGAAGGTGAAGACGCTTAAGGATAGTTTTTCCAGAGCGATGGCTGGGGGGATTCCCCAGAGATAGTCTTAGCAAGGAGGCCCTGGAGCGTTTGACGTTCGGTTTGCGGTTAGATGTCTGGAAGGGAGTCGATCTTCCGGGACGCTTCGGTTGAACGGACAGTCCTGTCCGCATTCTTGGAGTGTGGTTTGGACCCGACCTCCAGCTGGAGAAAAATTCGTCTGAAGTACGAGCAAAGGTCGACGCTGCTGGTCAGACTTGGCGTCGATGGAGGTTGTCCGTGAAGGGCAGGGCGGATGCGTGTGCTGCATACGTTACCCAATTGTCCTTTATCGATTGTCCGTACTTCCTCTCTGCAAAGATCACAAGAAGCCGCTCGAGCGCTCGCTATTCTCCATTTTGGGGAGGGGAAGCAAGCATCAGGTCGACAGTGAAGTCTGTGCAAAACGTCCGTGTCATGGGGTCTGGGAATGCCGCAAACTCGCCTCGAGGTTGGCTTTCCTACGCCGCTCTTTGATAGGAGATTCGATTATGGCAGGGATTGTTCGGAACGCATTTCCTTTCCTTACTATCAGTGCCTCCATCTTGCGGGTTCAGCGCCGTTATAAACCCCGAGAACAATCGAATTTCCTTCGCGAATGTCGGTACGCTTTGACGATCATTCCTCGGTCCAGTACCTTTCACCACCTAGGAAGGTCTTCTATTCGTTATATAGTCGCGAAGGATTCCCTATGTGAGCGGCTCGGCTTGTCGAAGGAAGAGTTTCGCTCTATCTGGTCTTGGGCGCCAGCGGCGGATTATCTCAGTAACCCTGAGTTTCCGCTTACCTGGAAGATTGGCTCGGAATCGGCTGCCTCTCAATGACAAGGCCTTCATATAGAGCTTGGCGGATTTACCAGACTGTGAACGGTGTGACCTTGTTTTAGAGGAAACGGTTTCGCACGCTTTCTACCGTTGTCGCCGGGTCCGCCCCTTATGGGACCATGTCGGCGAGTTGACGGCGCGTCTCGCTCTAGAACAGCTCGTGCGCATTGATCACGCATATGCGGGTGACAATGTGTCGCCCCCGTATTCTGGGGTGAAACGAATGGTGTTTCTTACGCTTCTGGCCACGGTCCGAATGGTGATTTGGACGACGCGTCAGCTCAAGATGAAGATTAGAACTGATAGAAAATGCTTGCATTCAATAGTATTCAGCGAAAGGTGGGTGACTGAGGCGAGTTTGGTTCGTTTGAATGGGACTAGCCTTGATTTTCTCTTTTAGGTCAACCTATGTCACATCGGGGTGGTTTCCTGTGGAGCCCTCCCCTTGGTTAGGTTAGACAAGCTTTTGTGTACCTTGTTAATATGAGTAAGAGTTGTTCCTGGCCTGTTCCTGGCCTGTTCCCGGCTGTTACTTTGGTTATGATCCAAGTTGAGATTCCCAACCTCCCCAGTTTGTTTTGGCTCCCTTTTCATCTCGACTGGGTCAGCTTTTTATTCCCCCATGTCCGTCTATATTTTCACCTTTCCCACTCCCTTAGTGAGAGAGCTTCTTGATTTTGTCCCATGGGCAGAATACAACGGCCTCTCTGTTTTGAGGGTTGGACGGGCCCTACTAACATCAGTTATGTTTAGTTTACTTTGTGTTCGTATTTAATTTGTTTTGGGGTTCAATCCCTCCCCTCTTATTTTTAATCATAGATTTTTATACGTAATTATTTATTATCATTAATTTTTTTATGGAATGGGGCGCGTTTTGTAGGACACCATTGAGAGAATGCGGTATTATAGTATATGGAGGATTGATTGCTGTTAGACGAGTTTTTAAGGTGAATGGTCAAATTGTAATGAGTAAATGGGTCGTGAATCGGATTAGTTAGGTATAAGATAATTAGTGGCGACCAGCCTCAACCCCTTCCCTTTTCGGCTTCGTGCCACAATTGTGTATTAAAACACAATAAATATCAATATGCAGTCTAAGTAGTCCACCACTAGCAGTGGTTTACCTACTTCACGCCGCTGGCGAGTGCTGCATTTTGTTGATGATATTAATATTACCATTTCATTTCCAATCTCCATTTTAGTTATTCCTCATTCAGTAACCCTTTTTAGGTTACAACAATATATATATATATATATATATATATATATATATATATATATATATATAATATTGCTGTCACATCTATTCTGGTGCTTCTATTATGTCCTTAGAAATTCATGATAAAATACAAAGAATCTGCAATGT